ATATCTGGCTGAGCTGATTCATCTGGCTGAAAATATCTCAATATAATGTCTGCTCTTTACCCTCAAAATAGGCCTCTGTTTCAGCGATTACTTCTTCATCAGCGCTAAATTTTTTTCCCGCGAGCATTCTTTTGAGGTCTGCGAACAGGAAATAGTCGCTGGGGGCCAGATCTGGAGAATACGGTGGATGGGGAAGCAATTCAAAACCCAATTCATGCAATTTTGCCATCGTTTTCATTGATTTGTGACACGGTGCATTGTCTTGATGAAACAGCACTTTTTTCTTTTTCAAATGGGGCCGTTTTTTTGTGATCTCATCCTTCAAACGCTCCAATAGCGCTATGTAGTAGTCGCTGTTGATGGTCCGGCCCCTTTGGAGGTAATCGATGAATATGATACCGTGCGCATCCCAAAATACAGACGCCATAACCTCGCCAGCCGACTGTTGCGTTTTTCCACACTTTGGATTCGGTTCACCGTGTGCAGTCCACTCGGCTGACTGTCGATTGGACTCCGGAGTGTGGTGATGGAGCCATGTTTCATCCATTGTCACATATCGTCGGAAAAATTCGTCTTTATTACGGTTGAACAGCTCCAAACATTGCTCCGAATCATCAACACGTTGTTGCTTTTGATCGATTGTGAGCACGCGCGGCACCCACTTTGCAAACAGCTTTCGCATGTCCAAATATTCATGCACGATATGTCCAACACGTTCCTTTGATATCTTTAGGGTCTCAGCTATATCGCTTAACTTCACTTTACGATCATTCAAAATTATTTTGTGGATTTTTTTGATGTTTTCGTCGGTAACAGCCTCTTTTGGCCGTCCACTGCGCGCATCGTCTTCAGTGCTCATTTCGCCTCGTTTAAATTTAGCAAACCACTTCTCAATGGTTGATTTCCCTGGTGCAGAGTCCAAATAATACTTATCAAGCCAAACCTTGGCTTCAACAGTATTTTTTTTCACCAAAAAGCAATGCTTCATCAACACACGAAATTCTCTTTTATCCATTTTTTTCACAATAACAAAAGTTGCTTCACTCTCAATGCAATAACTCACGAACCAATGGTCCGATTGCTGTCAAATTTTGACACATATCTTTTGAAGGTTGGCACTAATTTTTAATGATTGATTCTACATCAGCAACTAATTTAAATCCTAATGGCTTATCCATTTTGACTGGTAGTGCGAACCGTGGACCTAAACCACATAGTAATTTAACTTCTTTCGGTATGTCAATATTTGTTGCATTGTATGTCAATATTTATTTTGTACCAAAATGCCACAAACAGAACTTGCCACTTAGACCTATAGTCGCGGATTTAAATGGACCAACAAGGGGTATTGCTAAATTAATTGCTGACACTCTATCAAAATTACCGAAGTCTGAATATCACGTAAGAAACTCATATGAATTTAAAACTTTCATCACATCACAAACTATCGAAAATGGATGGGTACTGGTGTCGTTTGACGTTGTATCACTTTTCACTAATTCACCGATTAGTGATATTAGATTGATCATTGAACGACGTTGGCCAGAAATACAACAATATACAGACATTCCGAAACATTTCTTCCTAGATATGTTTGACTTGGTCACTTGTAATTGTTATTTTACATATAATAACATAACATACAAGCAAATATTTGGAACACCCATGGGAAGTCCGATCAGCTGTGATGCCACATGTATTTTAATGGATAAGATTCTAACATTAGCAAAAGAAAAGGTGAAGAGTACTTTGGGCTTCGATATTAAAGTCATGAGAAAATACGTCGACGATATTTGTTTGATTGTACCAGTTGATTTAGTTGAACCAATTTTGAATATTTTCAATGGAGTTAATGAACATATACAATTCACCATGGAAATGGAACACAATAATACTTTACCATTTCTCGATATGCTTGTTGAAAGACACCAAGATGGTACAATTACTACACAATGGTATCAAAAACCAATTTCCAGTGGGAGAATTTTGAACTATAGATCATTTCACCCCTTAAAAACAAAGATTAGCACTGCTTATGGAGTAATTGATCGTGTGGTACGCTTAACAAGTAATGCGGGGGTGTACAATGTTAAAAACACCATTGATGATATTCTGTCTAAAAACGATTTTCCGAAAAGTTTAATCAATCGTCTATGTGCGCGTTATAATACAAGAACCCGTAATGATATTTCAAATAATGCACCAATGAATAGTACATCTAACATGGAAACAGCATCGCAAATGATTTTTGCCTCTACCAGTTATATACAAGGAGTGTCTGAACGTATTAGAACAATTATATCAAGATATGTAAACATAAAAATGGCCTTCAATACAACAACAACTGTATCAGCGATTTTTACCAGACTTAAAGACAAAACACCCATCCATAAACACAATGATGTAATATATGCTATTCCATGCAAAAATTGTAATTCAAATTACATTGGTAATACGGGGCAGTTACTGATTGAGAGGGAAAAACAACATGAAAGATCAGAACGCAATAAAGAGATTGGGAAAAGCGCACTAGTTAAACATTCAGTTGAAAATGACCATTCCTTTGATTACAAAAACACAAAAATTTTGACTCATTGCAGTCACAAAGAAAAAAGATATTTAATTGAAGAAATGTACATAAAAACAACTGAAAACTGTGTAAATCTGAGAAGCATTGAATCAAGAAATATTAGTAACATCTATAATAATTTTTTCTATAAATTCAAAAATAGAATCTGAAGCGTGGTCCATATTCATAATATTTTCTTATGTTTTGCACTGTGGACTATGTTTAAAATGACACTTTGACATTTACCATTCAATGAGTTTTCAGATTGGCATTGTTTACATGTTTGATATAACACATTCGGATACAATCGTTTTTGTGAATTGTGGAATTTAAATAATTAAATGTTTGACACGCATTCTGGATATGAACATCTTTGTTCTAAAATATATTGACACAAAAACTATCTGCATTTGTTTTGGTAATTTAATCAGTATAAATAGAAATGAAAATATGCCATTAAACCAATTGTTTGTAACTTATATTAGAAAATTAAATTGTTTATTTTAGCCCTGATGAAGATTTGAAGAATAAATCGAAACGTTGGCGTTATACATGAAGCACTAAATAGTTTTGCGTATTTATTTAGACTGAAAGGTCCAGTAGAAAACAATTTAAACTATCTACAATTCGCCGATATAATTTTTTTTCCAAACTAGTTATTTTTTCATATAAAAAACGCATTTTACCGGCTTGTCTCAAAATGACATAGTTTAACTTTTGACGTGAAATGCCGAATTTTTTTTGAACGTAATTTGTGAAAGCAATAATAGATTTTTGATTAAAATTTGGATTATAATAAAGAGATTTGATATTAATCTTTCATAATTTACTTTTAAAAATGCAATTCAAATGAATTTTCAATTTTTAATTTCAATTCACCTCTCGGTATTCCGACATTTGGTCGTGTGTCGACATTTGGCAATCTACTGTATTTGAAAAAAAAAAAAATTAATTTTCTAGTTGTGCGTCAAAATTTTAATTTCCCATTGAAATTCCAAAATGTGTATCTATTTATGTTATAGTATTGTTATTCTTGAAAATTTTCTAGTTAAAATGTGGATGAAACGACTATATATAGGAATTTCTTATAATTTAATTGAAAATTGAGAGTAAAAGTTCTTGGTATGCATAATTAATCTACAAGCGATATACGACGAGTGACACCACCCCGAGAAGATTCGAACACAGTTATTGATGATGGTAAGCATAAATCTTATACAGAATTTTACGCTCTTCAAAATGATGCTAGCCACTTTTTAATATTTTCCATGTGGAAACACCCTAATGCACACTCAGGCTTTGTAGTACATCGCGGGCGCACTGTACCAACATTAGCATCTATGCAAGAACCGCTGCCTATAGCTCGATTAAGGCAATCCAAAGAGCGAACAGAATCAAGAACCGAAGATCGAGGTAAGTTTCAGCTGAACTTTACAAATATGATTCATGATTTAAAAATATATGTCACTTCACCTGTAAAAATTAGACATTTATTAGCAAATATTGGTGAATTTTTTTTTAGTTCACTATAAAACTGTCTTCAGTCAACTTTTGTTTTATTTTTGTTATTGTTTTTATTTTTATTTGTTCATTTTGAATGCACTGCATTTCATAGGCGATAGTATCGCAGCTGGTCGTCCTAGTAATTGGGAAGAGACTAGAAGACCAAGTTTTGCAGGTTTGTATGTAACAAACAAATCATCAATTGATTGGCGTATTTGTTTTTCACAATACTAGTTCAAATTTAGCTACAATTTCATTCAGACTTTTGATTCATTACTTTTAATATAAACGAATTTAAATCATATTAATTTATTTATTTATAGGACGACGATCTCGTCGCAACTCGGTTAGTGATGATTCACAACTGACAATAGAGAATTTTGGAGGCTCACAAGACCAATTGAATATGATTGGTCGTGCATTCGAAAAAGATAAATCCATAACAAATGTTGTGGTTGAACCAGCTGTACCAGTGCGATCATCAATGGCTGATGCTCGGGGCTCCATACTATTTGATTACGATGATACATCGAATAATGAAAAACAGGATCATGAAAATGAAAAACAGCAACCAATACCTATGCGACATAAAAGTCAAACTCAAGATATTATTGATGGAGATGCTACAATACAACAACAAACGGCTACAATGGCTTCGGATAACGGAACAATACCAGTTCGAAAAACTTCATTCGTAACGCTTCCAAATAATACAACCACATGGCAACAACAATCTGTTAATTATCAGAAAACTGATCACGAAGGTCAGTTATATTATTATTATAATCTATGCCTATAAAATTGATTGTGAGTCACATGTTTCACATTTGTGTTATTCCGTGTTAGACCATTATGGCTACTTGAGACCCTTTAGAAGATTTATTAGTTAAAAACAAGGGGAAAAGTACTAAATAAATTTAATACCAGTAATACGATCTAGTATGTAATGGGCTTGGAGCCGTGTGTGAATTAGTCTTAATGCGGTTCATAGTAGCTATGCGTCGTTCACAGTGGTGAACGAAACCATTGAAATGTCAGTTGTCTTGAATTATACGTGAATAAAAAAACATACTTCTCGTCAGTCATAAATATATATTGATTATTTTCTATTATTAACTAATTTTATTTATTTATTATTCGTTCTTTTCTTCTGCGATTCTCTCCTCAGGTAATCGACGATTGCAACAAACCTATTGCTTATAATTGCACCACCACAAAAATGCCCTTTTCGACTTCGAAGCGATACGTGATAAGGAAATTGTCCCTCCTTCGCATCATTACCACCAAGTATATGAGGATTCACTCTATCGAATTTTTGTCCAAATTTTATATTGGCCACAACACTTACGACATTGGCCACAACCGCCAAACAGATTAAGTTTATCGTCTTCATATTCTACTTGTTAAATGAAACTCTCAAAAAATTACATTCAGTTTTTATTCATTGTAACATACTTCAGATAAAAAAAATTGATTGATAGTTGGGCTATAGCGACGCAATCGTTATCAATTTGAAAGTGATTGATTTATTTAAAACGTGATCAGTCAATATTATCTAATCAGAAAAAGTAATGGGCTTGATTATTGTCTATTATTTCGATGTTTTGTATCAAGTGAAGATGATCTGGAACGGTGCCTGTTATTACGTCTTGGTGATACCGATCGATCACGGGCTGATCTTTTATAACGTTTGTTTTTTCGATCTCTTTCCGATTGATCTCGATTTCGCTCCGAACGGTCTCTCTCGGCTCGAGCCGAGATTGATTTGTTACGACTTTTTTCGTCTTTTGACGACGACGATGATGATGATGACAATGTGTGTTGCTTTGATTTCTTTTTTAGGCTACGTTTGGCTGATGTTTGCTTCATTTTCTCGATCTTTTTAAGCTTTTTTAACAATTTCTTCTTTTGTTTAGTGCTGAGAGATTTCAAAAATTCCTTTTCAACTTGTGCTGCTTCGTTGTCATTGTAATCGTCATTTGCATTTGCAACAAACTGGTGCAAACGACCCGTTTGGAAGCTTTGTGCACTCATTGCGCCTTTTTTCATCATTAAACCGTCTTCTTTCATTTGTTCTTCCAACAAATTCTTCGATAAAATCTCGTTGGATTCAGCTTCCGAATGTAATTTTCGTGCTTCACTCATAGATAGACTGTACATAGTACATTCCTTGTCAGTATTTATATGACCCCATTTGTGGCATTTAATGCAACGCACATTTCTCACTTGAATACCAAACGGTTGATCACGAATTTCTATATCGCCTTTACAATAACTTTCACGTGGTGCATTGTATTTACGTTGCCATTCAAATTTATATTCTGGCTCATTGTCGTCTTTTTCACGTTCTTTGCGAACACCAGGTGGTGGCTCGTACATGAAATTCATGCTCAATTTATCTTTGCTATCTTTGCTCAGCATTGCTTTATTTTCATGCAAATCTTGCTCTTTTACTTTTCCGCACACACCTAGTGTGTAAGGTAAAGTATTGGAATCGGTCGAAAAATTAACACCATCAAAAAACATGTTTTCTGGGTGTTTTAGGAGCCAGGGAACACGAATCTAGCGATTTTTTGATGTCCGAATGTATGTGCGTGGTACCCTGTACGCTGTACGCAAAAATTTGTTAACACGATAACTTTCAAACAAGAAAATTAATTCAAAATCTGACTTCACAGGATGATTGGGGGTGCCGAGGAATAGAAACCATTAGATTTTGAGCGACTTTGGTTGAGAGAGTGAAGTGTCATGTCTGGTGTGATGCCCATGGCCATCCATGGGAAAAATTCAATTTTTCTTCCAAAAGTGATATTTAATGTATATGACGTTAAAACCGAATATGACGTTATTTTTGCGATACAAATAACTTTCGACACACTTTTCATACAAAAATGTCAAAAATTTTGGATTTTTGTATAAAAGCCATGCCTGTATGATATCGTAATGAGCTGAAACTTTGCACAGGTTATTTTTTTCACAAAAAGTTAACATTCTGAAAATTTGAAGAAATGTCAATACATATTAAGGGTACTTCCCATACAAAATTTCGTTTTTGAGCGAAAAATTCAAAA